TCCTATTAACAAATTAAACTAAATTTAACACTTTTTTAAAAATAATGGGTGTGCAATGGCTCTCCTAGGGAGCCATGTACATCCGCCCCTGATGGCGGGTGAAAACTGAACAATGGAAAAGAATAATGTCAAGTATAAAATAAAGACAATATATTAAATTAATTTCATAAGTAAAATCTTCCAAAATACAGTGATTTTCTATTGTTGTTACACAACTAATTATTGGGTGAAAAAAATTGAAAATAAAAAGTTTAATAGTAAAATTGGAAGTTGTTAAAGTTAGATGATCAAATATAGAAATAAGATAGAAGTTGAGTGACTAAACCCTAAATTATCTTTTTCCTTTCTTTCGTCTTGTCTTGGCTTGTCAACTTTCTTTCTGATCTGCTGTTCATCGAAGAAAGGTCGACAAAAGTACAGACATTTAAACCTTATTACGTGTCATATTTTTATTGGAAATAAATCATAAAAGGACACGTGGAAGGCAATAAATGGAATATGATTAGCGTTATTATATAAAAAAATAAAAAAAACCATTTATAAAAAAAATATTTTAAATTATACACATAGGATTATCTCACATCTTACAAAAACGCGTTTAAAATACCTCATGTTTTATTAGACGCGAGTTCTATTAATTTTTCAAATAACTTCATTTAATTTATGGATATATACCATAATAAATATATGATACTCGCTTTATGTAAAACACGAGATCATTAAACACGTTTTGTAAAACATGATTGAGAAATATTTTTCAATTAATATTATCTCAAAAATAATAACCACAATAAATTTACTTTATATGTTTAGGCATAAATGTAATAATAACATTCTATATATTATTTTTTTAACTAGATTTTTGATTTTTACTGAGTAAAAATAATATTTTTTATAAATATATTTATTTCGGGTCGAATTCAAATTTTATCTCAAAAGATCGGATCTTGTTCAGATCAAGTGAAGTCACCCATAAACCCGGGTATAATTTTGGGTGGAGAATATAATTTTTCAGATCAAATCAAGTTGACCGAAAATATGATCCAACATAATCCCATCTTACCCATGCTCATCCATAAGTGTGACATTCATTGTTAATGGTTAACATTACTCTTTTTAAAGAAGGAAAGAGAACAATAAATTCAAAGAAAAATGAAGAGGAAAAACAGTGATAGTATTGGCTTATTTGGACAATCTTATATCATGTACAATTATATATATATCACATAGAGTCGATAGATTCGATTCAAATTTAAAAATCATTCTATTAATCATATAGAGTCGAGTCGAATTCATGAAATTACGACTCAATCAATTCAAATTAAAACCAAATTTTAAATTAAATCAAGTTTTGTTCACTCATATCCCTAAATAGTCTTATTGCTTGCTTGTTGGGTTAGGACAAATAGGTCACTAAAGATAATTTGATCTCTTCGAGATCTCTATTCATAGTTTCGACTTGACCCAATTTAATAGAATCGAGTTTCTTTTCCCAAAAAAAATATATCGAATTTGGATTGGGTTAAGTTGAACTTTTTAAAAGATAGGGTTAGGTTATATTTAAATCTAAAGTAATAAATACTCGATCTAACTCGAGAATAATAGTATATTTAACTTTTATTTATTTAGGTATAATTACTATAATACTCATCTCTTTATTTTTTAATTAGATCTTTATTTTGTCTAATAATATATATACATAAATCAAGTCGAGTCAAATTTTTACTTTAAAAATCAGGTTGGATAATGGATCAAGTAGCATGATGAGGGGGCGGGGGGTTGTTTGTGTTTGTAGATTGATAGCATATAGCGGTGTTCAAATTCAAGTTCGCGCATTTTCGGCTATCCGAAATGTCAGGTATCCTGGACTTTCGGGTTACAAAAACTCAGCCCATGACTCGGCCTGTAAGAGGAAAATACTTATAAGTCGGGTATCCGTAAAACTCGAGTACCCATATTTTCGTGTCTCGAGTACCCGTTAATAGTTATTTTATTTTAATTTTTTAATTTATAGTAATAGTTTTTTTTATAAAAAATCCACATAGAAAAAACGTAAAATTCAAAACCTAAAAGTTTATACAATACATAACATAAACATAAAATTTATAAATTCGAATTATATAATTTAAAAATAAAATTTAAAATTATAAAAAATAAAATAAAATAAAATAATACAATTACAACTAAATTTAAAATAATTTAAGATTAAAATTTGATTTAAATATTAATGTGGAATAATTTGAGAAAATAAAGATTTAGAATGTTAGGGTAAAATAATTTTGAAAATAGAAGTAAAAATATAAATAAAAATAAAAATAATAATAAAAATAAAAAAGGAGATTAGTCAACGAGTTAGCGGGTATCCAGTTAAGGATAATTTTGTGACTCATATCCGATTCGAAAACCCACCAAAAATAAAGAGCCTATACCAAATCTTTAAAATTGGATATTTACCTCTAAAATATCTGATAATTTTATACAAGATTAACGAGTAGAGAGAACGAGTATTTTTTAACACCCTAATGACAGATGATGGTAAGAACTAATCATGCTGGTGTTTGCTGCAAAATCAAGGACACAATCTATTTATTTATTGAGTAAACTATGTTTAGGTCACTCAATTATTATTTTGATTATAAAAAGGTCATGTTTTTCTTCTTCTAGAAAATATAATTTAATCACTCAACTAAAATATTATTACAAATAGACCGTTTCACCATTAAAATTGAATGTTTGAAATGAACGTTTAATATAACATTGTGTAATAATAAATCTAGTCCCTTAAATTTATACATTCCATCAATTTAAGTCACTTAATATTTTCTTTTATGATACTTCTAATTCAAGTGAATTCATAAAATCATACAGTGTAAAATACGAAAAAAAAAATTAAAATTATAAAATTATAAATTCAAATTTTTAGATCCGCTACTGCTTGCATGTCTTGCCTTTCAAAGAGTATAAGCACACATGTTACCATTTGTATTATTATTATAATGATACTAGTAATAATGCTTTCAAATCCCGTATTATTATTATTATTATTATTATTATTATTTGTTTATTTCATAATCTATAAAATACCGTTTTATAGTAAAAATCGTATTTATTTAGTATTTCTTATGGTAAACTATCTTTTATACAATTAATTATTTACAATAACAATTAATTAATACAATTTAATAATTATGATTTAAAAAATAGTGATGGAGAAGAATCAAAATAGACATACTAGTAAGAGCAAATTAATCTTATTCATGCAGCTAATTGCAATGATAAAGTTTTATACAAAGCACTAATATATTTTTTTGAATTAATCACTGGTGTATAATCTTTTGACCTACTAATCCAGATCGAGTATTACAAAGGTGAAGGTGATTGTCTCAACCCAGTTTGCTCCATTCGCAAACACAAAGATTTGAACCCCTAACTTTAAGAGATTTAGTATATCGTCCCACTAGACTTACTGATTGTTGGTAAACATACTAATATATTTGTAATGATGAGATATAAACTTCAAAACTTGGAAACTTTCAATTATTATGTGAGGCAATTCTTTTTTTACTTTGTATATTAGATACAGAGCTGTTAGAATTAAGAACGCATCAGCAGGTTTGCCCGAGAGGTTAAGGGGGAAGACTTAAGATCTTCTGTACATAAGTACGCGTGGGTTCGAACCCCACAGCCTGCATGCAAACTTACCTCGGAACAAACTAATTTCACACCTCTTAAAGTTATATTATAACTTACTAAGTTTGCATTAGATCAATTAATTTGAGATTTAATGCTTAAATAAATGTCTAAATTATATTTTTTTTTGTTGAATAGGTATTTTTTGACACATTTATGTGCCTAATGTTATAAACGTGATCACTTTAAGTGCTCAAGATGTCAACGACATTAATTTAAGGTTTAATGTTTAAATAAATGTCTAAACTATATTTTTTGTGTTGAATAGGTGTCTACGGTATTTTTTGACACATTCATGTACCTAATGTTACAAACGTGATCACTTTAAGTGCTCGAGATGTCAACGACATTAATTTCATTTGATAAGCAACACATGTCATAATCTAATAATTTTGAAAATTATTTTTAAAAATATATTAATATTATTATTATTATATTTATAAAAAAAAACCTTAATTTCTTTTAAATTGCAAACAAACCTCAAAATCTCTAAAATCCACAAATCCTAACACTAATCCAATGTTGATGCCCTTTCCGACCACGACTATCGCCGCCGACATAATCCTTGCCATCATCCTACTTATATGTCGTCGTAGTTGTTGTCGATTCACTGTCGGAATTGTGATTTTCATCTTAGGGTTCACGGGGTATAAAAAGTTAATTTGTTGTCGATCGACCGTCTACTTGTCACGATTCCATAGGTGTTTTGGTCTCCGAGGGAGAGAAGGTCGGGTAGAGCTTCTTCGAAGGCAAAATGCGGCGGTCGACGTGGGTTAAGGGGTTAAAATAAAGTTTTTAAAGTTTTGAGGTTATTTCAAAATTTATGTGTTTTCTTTTTCAAAAAATATATAATTTTATTTTTTAATTTTATATAAAAAATTTAAAATTATCAGATTGTGACACATCACTTAACGTAGGAATTTAACGTCGCTGATGGCCCGAAACCTAAAATGGTCATGTTTGTAATGTTAGGCACTCGAATAGTTCAAAAAATATCATAGGCACCTATTCGACACAAAGGTATAATTTGGATACTTATTTTAGAATTTAGCCTTAATTTAATAATGTTTGCAATTATATCACTCATTGGTAACTAAAAAAATTAATGCATTGAACATTAAATGACAAAATTATACGTTTATAACAATAGATTAATTAAGTAATCTATTGATATTTTTTAAAATTAATTAACTCATTTGTAATCTAACTAATAGTTGAATGACTTGTAGGTGTAGTTTACCCAAAGTAAAAAGGTATACCGTACATATAACACCCTTCCTTCTTCCTCTTATAAAGCGCCTGGTCTTCCTCTCTTCTCTAACTTTATGATTTTCTCTCTTCAATGATGATGTTGTCACAATGTGAAGCCCAGGGAAGCTTTTGGATAAAAGCTTTCTTCATCTTCTTAATCCCATCCTTAACCCCATTTCTATAAAACAAAGAAAACGAAACTTATACGCCCACAAAATTTCAATTTCTGTTTTTTTTCTTAAGAAAAATAAATAAAGATAAGAATCCATAAACCCTCCTCCTACAATCATTCTTTTCGTCTTTCTAAATCCCCTACAGGTTTCGATTCGAATCTCATTATCTTTTCCCCTCAGCTCAGCTGCCAAGTTTCCCGGGGTAAGATCTCATGTTTTTTTTTGAATTTTCAAGGCTTTGATTGTTTTTCAAGATATGGGTTATTTTTTTTTGTGATTGGGAAAAACGGGTACCTAATGGATTTTTATTTTGTTGTTGCAGATTCTGGGAATTTGTTTTTTTTTTCTCATAGTTATCCAGGAAATTAGAACTTAGTACTTTTTTTCTTCTTTTGGTGGAGAAAGATGTCGATTTTGCCTAAAAGTGAATCAATTCACATAAGAGAAGTTTGGGATGAGAATTTGGGTTGTGAATTCGAGTTAATTCGTGATATTGTTGATGATTATCCCTACATTGCTATGGACACCGAGTTCCCCGGCATTGTTCTACGCCCAATAGGCAATTTCAAGAGCAGTTTTGATTACAATTACCATACATTGAAAGCCAATGTTGATCTTTTGAAACTGATTCAGTTGGGACTTACTTTCTCGGATGCCAAAGGGAATTTGCCTACTTGTGGAACTGATAAGTACTGCGTTTGGCAATTCAATTTCCGCGAATTCGACCGCAGTTCGGACGTGTATGCTAATGACTCGATCGAGCTTTTGTCTCGGAGTGGCATCGATTTTCAGAAGAACAAAGAAAACGGTGTTAGTGCTCATGACTTTAGTGATCTGTTGATCTCATCTGGGATTGTTTTGAATGATAATGTTCATTGGGTGACGTTTCATAGCGGCTACGACTTCGGGTATTTGCTTAAGTTGCTTACGTGCAAGAATCTTCCCGAAACGCAAATGGGGTTTTTTAGGTTGATCAAGATTTACTTCCCGAATCTATATGACATCAAGCATCTGATGAAGTTTTGCAATAGCCTTCACGGTGGGTTGAACAAGCTAGCCGAGCTGTTAGAAGTGGAGAGGATTGGGATTTGTCACCAAGCTGGTTCAGATAGTTTGCTTACTTGTTGTACATTCATGAAACTGAGAGAAAATTTCTCTAGTGGTTCGACAGAGAAATATGCCGGTGTGTTATACGGTCTTGGTGTTGAGAATGGACAGAGTACTCTGTAATGATTCAACGAAAAATTCCTTTAGCTGGTGGACTGAGAAATATGCTGGTTTGTTATATGGTTTTGGTTGTTGAGAATTGACAGAATACTTCTTAAATATCAAAGAATTATGAAACAAAATCGATTCGTTAGACTTTGCGTTCTACTTGCAATCTACTTATACTATCTGTTATCTTTACCATCAGCATGTCATTTCTATTATAATGGATATACTGATCATTTCGTAGAACCTATTACGTGTTTTGCTCTTTTTCTTTGTGATGATGAATGCATATTAGAGGAGGGAGACATGGGGATGGATGATACGAGAAATGTTTCGAGACGGCCAGCCATTGTAAGCATGCTTTCATGGTGGTTTCGAGCTATTCCTATGATGGTTTTGGTTTAACTCATGCTTTTCAAGGATATTGCTGTTAGTTTTGATCAATTTTCTTTCTATTTCCCACTATTTAACATCCATAATTTAGAGATGCCAAGGAGCAGTTGTAAGATTTATCTTGGACTTTGCCGTAATGCACAGAGCGGATGCGATATCAAGATTGCGGAACTGAGGTAAGCTATTTTTAATCAAACTTCCGAAAAGCAAACCCAACATACCTAAGGAGAATAAACTGTAAGATTAATCAGTGATCATATTTTCTTTGCCCTTGGCATGTTCTTCAATAACTAACTGCAGCCCTTTTCATTTCATCCTCAACTCCTGTATTTCTGAGGTTTTTCTTGTCGTTTTATCTAAAACCGAAACGATACAATCGCCCAGAGGTGAAAGCGCCAGAGGTGAAAGCAATAGAGGAGGCAAGTGAAAAGAATATAGCTATAAGCCTGGTCTTTCTCTAAAGCCCTTGCAGATTTCGATTCGATTCTCGTTTTATTTTGCTCTCGGCTGCTACGTTTTCGATTTTCCAGGGTAAGATCCCATCTTCTTTACTTCTGTAATTGAAGGCTTCGATTGGTTTACCTATTGAAATGTGGTTTTAAGATTTGTGAAGACATTAGCACATACTGGTTTGTTGACTGAATTGCAATTCGTAGAAGCTAGCTGAGGAATTAATAGCTTTCTTCCCAGTCCTGGAGAACATGTTGGGATGGACATGTTATGATTTATTTTAGGGTCAATTGAGCATTTAGTACCTAAACTATTAGTTTTGGTCCGTTTTAATATTAAACTTTCAATTTTTTCAAAACCATACCTAAAGTTTAGTTTTTGTTTCATTTTGGTACCCACCGTTAAAAACTTTAGATTTTGATTCATTTTAGTATCCATTTAAAATTTAACGTTAAGTTTTCATTTTAAATATTGAAAATTTAGGTACTAAAACGGACCAAAACTAATAGTTTAGGTACTAAACGCGCTAAGTTTTTAACGGCGGGTACTAAAAGGAAATGAAAACCAAACGATAGATATGATTTTGAAAAAATTGAAAGTTTAGGTACTAAAACGAACCAAAATTGATAGTTTGTGTACTAACTGCGTAGTTTATTTTATGATGTGTTTTGTTTCACTTTAGAAGTCCGATGTACATTGTATTTCATATGTATTATCTTGTACTTTTGTAATTGTAATGCACTTTCGATAATATTAGCGATATTATCGAAAGTGCAATATGAGGGTGACATGAATGGATCGAGAGATGCTGGGTTGTAGTCACACCCCTTGAAATTTTACGCATGTGGAATATATTTTGTCACTATACAAAGTTCGATATAAATCAAACTAATATGTTACTAAAGTTTCTTGCCAACAACATTCTCTTTTATTATTAAGATCTCTCAACACAAACGTAATAATAGAACATGACAACATATCGACAACTAACTTTATCGACAACATATCGACGACTAACTTTATCTCAATTTAAGCGTAACATATTTGGGGTGACTGTAAGCATCTATCAATATGAGAGGAAAATAGGTTGAACATGTATAGACACATTTTCTTATAAAATTTTAAGGAGCGAAAACGAGGAATTGAGCAACAAATTTAATCCTGAAAAATTAAAAAACCTACTAAAGCAAGAAAAGACGTGCTATATTATTAAACTATATCATTCATTATAAAATGGCCCCGAACTTTTTTAACATTTCAACTTCATCCCAAATTATATGTATATACTAATCATGTTCCGTGTTAATAAAACCTTTAGGCCAAGCTATATTATTATATGTTTGAAAAAAAATAAAATTTAGGCTAAATTACGGTTAAAACTAATTACATATTTGGATGAATTTATATATTAAATTGGAATAATTAAAAGTTTAGGGACCAATTTAGAATGATGGACATAATTTAAGGATGAAATTAAACAAAGAATATTCAAAGTTTAGGGATCAATTTAGTATGAGGGTCATAATTTGAGAATGAAATTAGAATATTAAAAAAATTAGGGATTAATTTAAAATGAAAGTCATAGTTTGGAGACATGATGCAATTAACTCTAAAATAAAACATCATGAAGTTATTAAAATAGCTAATTTTAAAGGCCCTTAAAATCTTTTGGTGGAGAAACAAGTCGAATTTCTCGATGAGTGAATTAATTCAGAAACATATTAAAATATCATTTATAATTTGATTAGAGGCAAAATTATAAACACTTAATAGATTGGCCTAATATTCATTCTATATAAAGAGGTAGTCATCTGAAGATTTAGGTTAACTTCTATTACTCTTATTTCGTTAGTGCAAACCTCTCTTCTTGGAAGATCTCAACCCTAAGGCAATTTTCAAGGTCTCAACCTTCTAGGTAATCTCCAACAATGGATTCTGGTACGATTTTGCAAATCTTGTATTTCTTGTTGCAAATCTTTATATAACGACCGCTATTCAGATAACGAACCAGTTGTTACGTATTTGGTTTTCCATGGTAAGACCCCATGTTCTTTACCATTTTTATCTCCTTTTCTTGTTTGAATTTTCAAGGCTTTGATTGATTTAATTATCGAAACATGGTTATAAGATCCCATTTTCTCTAATCATGTGTTGATTGTACACCCTTGCTTTTGATTACTAGAAATTCATGCTAGCTAGGCATACCAGTATCCTAGATAGGCTTGATATACCTTGTTATGAAGATGTCGAAACGATGGTAGCGATACATTGCTAGACGGAAAATGCAGTAGCGGAGTTGGGTGATACTCGGTAAGGGTATCGGGTTGTTGATCGTCACGGTTCATTCGCATTCCCGAACATATCGTACTTTAAGTATACAAGCAATAGGAGGGGGAAGAGTCGGATGCCGGGAGATGTTCATCCGCGTGTAGATTGGACTTCGATCTCAATGGTACCCTGGAGACCCCTACCTGTACCAGTATGTTGCAGGACGTTCAATGGGAGCAAGCAAACTTGAGGGCTTTAGTCCTAGTGTTGATGACTGCCATGTGATCCCAACATGGATACAATGCCACATAAGAAAGAATGGATAATGAAACGTAATGTTTTGATTGTAAGAGTTATTATTTCATACATCACCAATGAGAAAAAATTTTGTTGGTAGCTGCTCGGCTTCTCAAAATTTAGGTTAACTTATATTACTCTTATTCCGTCAGCGGACTATTACGATAAGAGCAAACCTATCTTTTGAAAGATCTCAATCCTAAGGTAATTCATCAAGATTTCAACCTTTTAGATAATCTCCAACTATGGATTCAGGTACGCTTCTGCAAGTCCTATATTTTTTGTTCTTAATGATTTGACATGATTAGATCCTTATGATTAATAATATTTTGGATCTAACATGATGTTCATCAAGGACACTCCATTAAGTTATTATCTTTATCCGGAATCGATTTCAAGAAGAACAAATAAAAGGGTGTTAGTTTTAGAGATTTTCGCGAGCTGTTGGTCTCGTCCGGTGTTGTTTCGAATGTCGACGAGCATTGGGTGACCGCTGATATAACTTAGAGTACTTAAAGTTGCTTAAGGGGATGAATCTTTCTGGAAATAAAGAAGAGTTCTTTGATTTAGTTAGGGTTTTTTTCCTAACATATATGATATCAAGCTTATGAATAGGTATGCTAATGGTTTCCATGGTTCGTTTAAAAATGTAACAAATCGAGAGGGTTGGTCGTGATCACCAAGATGGTTCGGATACTAAAGGGTCAGTACTGATACGAACCTTTTAGTATCGATATTAACCCTTTAGTATTGATACTTTGCTTTAGGTATAGATACTTTACTTTTTTTTCAACCCCTAAGAAAGGGGATAGTATGGATACTTCAAGGCTAGGGTACCGGTACTAAATAGGGTACCGATACGAAAATTTAATTCGATGCTTTATAAAATAACCTTGGTATTGATACTCCTATGAAAGTATTGATACTCTACCCTGTGTATTGATACTCCATTGAGTACCGATACCAAACTAGTATTTTGTTAAACCGGTCTCGATACCAAGCTGTGGTTTTGAAACTGATACCTCAATATCAATACTCTCTTTCAAACTTTGGGGTTGTTTGATAAAATAAAATGATTAAGCGCTGAATGATTCAATGGCCTGAATGATTCAAAGACTCTGTATGAATTGGCTCTGAATGTGACATGTTTGATAATGGTTTTGAATGTACAATATGAATTATGAATATTTTCATTTTTACGTTCATAATGATTTATTATATTATAAGATATGATTGTTTAATAAGACAACATGTGAAAAAATATGTATTATGGTAAAATATCGGGGCTTAATGATCCAGAATGTACTTTAATGCTGAATCATTCAGCAGTGTTTTGCTGTTTCATTCAGCATAGTCTTCATTCAGAGGTGAGAATCAAACACCCTAAATGCTGAACGGTTCAGTATTCATCGCTGAATGGTTTCATTCAACAGTAAACAAACAGCCCCTTAGACTTTATTTTTATTCTTTTTGAAGAACAGTATCGGTACACCAAATCCCCTACTCTATTGTCTGTAACTTCTTATATGAATTCCGGCTTATTCATAGTGATTAAGATGGAGATCTTTTCAAGACTTACGTTCTGACCAAACGCTTCAAGCTTCCTCCATAGGTCGGCTATTCTCCTAAACGTGATGTCGTTCCAACAATGTAGAGGAATGCCCGAGAGTTCCAACCATGTCGCCCTCTCCACCTGGGACAGCTTCTCCGACCAAATATTAACATCCACAAAAAATCTCCTTCAGGTAAGACCAATGGAGATCCTCCAAGAATAAAAACAAGTCCTCATCGT